TGGAAAAGACCCGGTTATGTATGCAAGTTATATTACTATATGATTGTTCTTGCATATTGTAGATGAATGCAAGTTCTATGCATTTCATGTGCAAGTTTTTGACCATTTTTTCTTCTTCATTGTATTCTTCTTTTAGAGTAATACCAATGCCTTTAAAGCATTCTTCCTTAGAATAAATTATACTAGAGTGAAAATTCAAGTATTATATGCTTATTGTCGCATATGGTAAACTAAATACAATTTTGTGCTGATTTTGTGCAGGGTTGTGTCATCGTTTTATATTTTTATTTATTTTCTATATTCTTTATTGGTAGTACCAGTGCTACTGACTTACTCCTTCTACTTCATTTTTGACACAGTGCACTATTATATTCTCACTCAATCATATTATAAAAAAAATGCAAATATTCATCATTTATTTTAAGTTTATTTTTATTTTCTTTCTTCTATAATGATAATACCAATGCCACTAATTAATTCTTCCTTAGAAAACTTTATTTTTATTAGTTTTAGTATATAGAAGGTGGATGATGAACAAGCATGGGAAAAAGGATGGAGGAATAAAAACAAACTGAGCCGTTGGATCTCAATCGAACGATGACAAGTGATTTGACTGGACCGGAAAAAACCCAGTTATATACAAGTTATATTAATACTCCCTCCGTTCCTAAATATAAGTCTTTGTAGAGATTCCACTATGAACTAGATACGAATGTATATAGATGCATTTTAAGTGTGGATTCATTCATTTTGCTCCGTATGTAGTCTACCTAGTGAAATCTCTATAAAGACTTACATTTAGGAACGGAGGGAGTATATGATTGTTCTGACATATTTTGGATCAACGCAAGTTCTACGCATTTGGTGTGCCAGTTTTTGACCATTTTATTTAATTATTTCTTCATGTAATTCTTCTTTTAGGGTAATACTAGTGCCCTTAACTCATGCTTCCTTAGAATAAATTATACTAGAGTGAAAATTGCAATATTACATGCTTAGTATTCCATATTTTTTAACTACATTTTTGTGCAATTTTGTGCATGGTTGTTTCATCATTTGTTTTTAGTTTTTTCATTTTCTATATTTTATAAGGGTTATACCAATGCTACTAATTTATTCTTCCTTAGAAAACTGTATTTTTTTATATGTGCATTGTTATATGCTTATTCTTGCATATTATAAAAAATTGCAAATTGTGTGCAAGTTTTAATCACCATTTTACTCAACTATAAATAAATATTGAATAAA